TTTATTCTATCTCACTATATTTTTCCACCCATTAAACATCCCTATTTTATCCCCCCTTCCCTGTTACCCTTCCCAGCCTCTGGTAACCATCAATTACTTTCTTTTTAAGTGATAATTTGTTAGGCATTAAATCTTGGATTTGTGATTCTTCCTTTTTTAATGGCATTTGTAGGTTTTTTTCTGGTTGTAAAGGTAGGACATGTTCATTGTCGATAATTTAGTAAATACAGAAAAGTATAATGAAGAAAATTAAAATCACCTAATAATCACATTTTATTCATTTAAATAAAGTAGGGATAATTATCTCAATGAGAAAAGAGGGCAGCTAAGTTTCTCCATACTAGAAACACAGTAAATTTTTTGTAATTGAGAAAGAAAGAGTCTCTTAACAATCTAATGTCAGATAGAATAGAAGTCATCAAGCACATCTTCTTTCACTTCTTTATGATTTTCATGTTTCTCGTAAGAGTTTTTATGGCCTGTATTATTGAGAATTTGCGTTGAACCAGTAATAATAATCAGATATTGTTTTAGCATTTCTCAGCTACTTTTAATCTATAAAGTGTACTTAATTCATTTTTTTCTCCTGTTATTACTGCTTAAGAGGTTTTTGTTCCTTTTCTGTTTTGGTTTCCCTTGTGTACTGATAACTGCTACATGTTTTATTGCCCCAAGCTGCTAGGCTTTATCCTACAAGCTTTCCAAGATAGGTAGTGATTATAATAATTTTAATAAGTGAGGGTTTTTTTCTCCTTTGTAGCCACCCCTGAATGCTCAAATGTTGGCACAGCGTCAGCGGGAGTTGTACAGTCAACAGCACCGACAGAGGCAGCTAATACAGCAGCAAAGAGCCATGCTCATGAGGCAGCAAAGCTTTGGGAACAATCTCCCTCCCTCATCTGGACTGCCAGTTCAAATGGGGACCCCCCGTCTTCCTCAGGGTGCTCCACAGCAATTCCCCTATCCACCAAACTATGGTACAAATCCGGGAACCCCGCCAGCTTCTACCAGCCCGTTTTCGCAACTGGCAGCAAATCCTGAAGCATCCCTGGCCAACCGCAACAGCATGGTGAACAGAGGCATGACAGGAAACATGGGAGGACAATTTGGCACTGGAATCAATCCTCAGATGCAGCAGAATGTCTTCCAGTATCCAGGATCAGGTATGAGGGTCACAGCTTTATGTTGCTCTTATAAGTAATACATACAGGCTTGGTCTCTCTTCATATTTGTTGGTTCACTGACATTGACGTAGCATGCTGGAGTGGAAAGACACTGACGTGGAGCCAGGAGATCCAGGCTCCATACTGAGCTCTCCACTACATGGTTGATGGTTTGAGGCTTACCTCCCTTTCACAGCTGAGATGATTAAATTAGAGAATCCGTAAGGACCTAACTCTAAAATTTTTAACATTTGGTATGCAAAGTACATTCTCTTATTTTTTCTCTTACGGGTCTCTATGAGAATCTAATGAAAGTCCTCCCCAGACAATGGGATTTAGTACATTAATTCAAATTTGCATATAGTTTTTTCATTGTGTGGGAAATTTTGTTTTTGATAGTTTACATAAGGATAATCAATCTCCACAAAGTTTCTCAGACTTCTCACTGCTGCCACCGCTCTTGGCTGCTGTGGTTGCACCTTTGTCTGGAGTATCAATCCACTTTCTGGCTTCCAAACGTTCTTTTCTTTTTTAATCTTTCATTTGCACTATCTGTCTTCTATTCTCTTTGTCCTGGGTGATGATATCTTTTTCTTTTCTATCACTTTAAGCTTCTAATAGGTAGTGGCAGTAATAGACATTTGATTAATCCACGTGTTTAATGAAATTTCTGTGCAAAATTCATGGCCAATTCCTGAAAAAAAATTGAAGTAAATCCTTTGATTATATAAATGAAAGAAAAAAGGTAAATTTTAAGATTGCTTAAAAATGAATTTCTATGAGATAGGTGCTGTTTGACTTGAATAAAATGTCGAAGTTACATATATTTTTGATATGGCAGTATGCTTATCAGCTTTGACAGCCAACTCAATTTAGAGTTTCCATTCTGATGGCAACAAGTGCTAAAATCTTTTGGCTGTCAAATTAAGTATCTAAGAAGATTTGTGTCAGAGAGCACCAGAACTCTCTAAGACATTTTAATCAAAATTATGCCACATTAGTTTCTTTGTCTTCAAGACAATGATGTCACTGATACTGTCTGTGTGG